CTTTGCCTTGTCTCTGTTTCTCTCTCTCTCTCTCTCTTGTGCAAGTGCCCTAAGGCAAAAACCTCTTAAAAAAAATTAACCTGAATAGTTCTCTTTCTCTCTCTTTTATTTTATTTTTTAAAAACATTTTAAGAATTTATTGAAAAATTGGGAACCAGCAGTTACCGTAATGGCTATGTCACTGGACTCCCACGTAGTCGACTGTGGTTCGCGTCCTGGACCTGGTGGCTTAAAACTCACGCCGGGCGCGTGTGCGTGTGTGCCCAAGATCCCGAGAGGAGAATGGAGGAGAAGGGATTGCGGCGTGACCATCCCCCCTGGGGGGTGATTTCTCGCTTTCTGTCTCTATGTCTCTCTCTCTGTCTGTCTGGCGAGCGCACACGCCCTATAGCGAAAACCTCTCCAAAACAAACAAAAAAAGAATTTATTGAAAAATTAAAGAACAATTTATAATAAAATGATTCCATATAAAGAATATGGACTGCTTTGCGATTTTGCGTGTCATCCTTGTGCAGGGCCATGCTATTCTTCTCTGCATGGTTCCAGTTTTAGTATATGTGCTGCCAAAGCGAGCACTCTCTCTCTTTTAAATTGAATTTGTATTTTTAAACTTTCCACAAAGAAATCTCCAGGTTCAGATGGTTTCATTGTTGAATCTACCTAACATTTAAGGAAAAAATCAAAGTGAAGTTTTCTGATCTGTTAAAATGTATAATCATAAACTATCTTACATGATCAGCTAATTGACTCACGAACAGTAATTTATTTTTATTTTTAATTTTTTTTTCTTCTTTTGGGGAGAGGTTTTTGATATAGGGCACATGCACTCACCATAAAGACAGAAAGAGACAGAGAGACAGAAGCGAGAAATCACCTCCCCCTCCCCCAGGGGGATGGCCACGCCGCAATCCCTTCTCCTCCATTCTCCTCTCGGGATCTTGGGCATGCACGCACACATGCCCGGTGTGAATTTAAGCCACCAGGTCCAGGACACGAACCACCTCCCATGTAGTCAACTGCAGTTAGAGTCCTGGACCTGGTGGCTTAAACTCACGTGGGGCGTGTGTGTGTGCATGCCCAAGATCCTGAGAGAAGAATGGAGGAGAAGGGATTGTGGTGTGGCCATACCCCCTAGGGGGTGATTTTTCACTTTCCGTCTCTCTGTCTCTGTCTGTCTTTCTGGCCAGTACATGCACCCTATAGCAAAAACCTCTCTAAATAAATAAATAAATAAAATAATTCTATTATTTACTTATTTATTTTTATATGTAGATTTTTTTTTTAAATAGGGCACATGCACTAGCTGAAGAGACAGAGAGAGACAGAGTGACAGAAAGTCAGAAATTGTCCCTCAGGGAGGATGGCCATGACGCAATCCATTCTCCTGCAGTCTCCTCTCGGGATTTTGGGCATGCATACACATCGGCATGAGTTTTAAGTTGCTGGGTCCAGGACTCCAACCGCGATCGACTACATGGGAGTCCAGCAACATAACCATTACGCCATCTGCTGGTCTCATATTAGTATTTTTTAATTTGACCAGAGAGACAGAGAGAGGGACAGAGAGGAAAAGTGAGAAAGCAAGCCGCCAGGTCCAGGACTCAATCCGTGGTCAGCCATGTGGGAGTCCAGTGTCTTAACCACTATGCCACCTGCTAGTCCCCCAACAAACAATAACTTAATCTCTCACTAAACTACAACATACCTCAAGGTCAGGTTTCCTATCTTATACCTATACTTTTTTTTTTTTTTGTATTTTGTATTTCCCTACTCTCCATAGTGAAGATCTCAATGACAGACACAGAGATCAATTTAATACATACTTTTACTACGATTATTACTTTATTAGTATTTTTTAATTTGCTCTAGGTCATGCGTGCTCACTGGAGAGAGAGAAAGCAAGTTGCCAGGTCTGGGACTCGAATCGTGATTTGCCATGTGGGAGCCCAGCACCTTAACCACCATACAACTCGCTGGCCCCAACACATACTTTTCGATGAACCAAATGCCTTTCATACTCCTTGCAGGGATGAGGACTTGGGACAGCAACGGCAGAGTGAGTTTTTCTCTCGTTTTATTCCTTTACTTATCTGGAATGTAAAATACAAGAAATAGGAGGGAAGCCATGGCACAAGCCTACCCTAAGGACGACAGTAGCCTTCGTGCTGTAAAATTCTGAGACAAATGAGATGTACCCAGGCTTGGAGAGCTAGAGGGCTCGAAGGTTAATGAGGACACCGAGATAAGGCATTGTCATACTTCAGTTCAGCTTCATTTCATTCCTTTGCCCTCTTAGCTAACCGCTAAAGTAAAGGAAGTTACTTAGTTAACCAATAAAGTAAAAGGAAGGTGAAACTCGGGACCAGCCGTTGGCGTAATGGCTGGACTCCCACGTAGTTGACTGCGGTTCGAGTCCCGGACCCGGTAGCTTAAACTCACGCTGGGCGCGTGTGCGTGCATGCTCAAGATCCCGAGAGGAGAATGGAGGAGAAGGGATTGCGGCGTGACCATCCCCCCTGGGGGGTGCTTTCTCGCTTTCTGTCTGTCCGTCTCTCTCTTTCTAGCGAGTGCACGCACCCTATAGCAAAAACCTCTCTTTAAAAAAAAAAAAAAGGTGAAACTCAAGTGAGGATTTGATAAATAATAATGTCCTTTAACGAAACACCTTCAATGAGTAAGATGTTCTGATCATGATTGTAATCACATATGTTTTCACATGCCCCTGGAAAAGTGGCAGTAAGGTCTCTACATACTGAATTGCTCAGCAAAAGAGACAGAGAGAGAGAGAGAGAGAGAGAGAGAGAGAGAGAGAACTACCCTGAGAACAATCTCTCTGGGGAGGAAGAGGGCCAATCTTACTCATTGTAATGGTGGATAAAGCTGATAATCTTGGATTTTCGCTGTGGAGAGTCCCCATCATTTGTAGAGATCCGTCTGCTGTGGGGAAATATACGGCCCTGGTTTTGCTCTTTGTACATTTTGGAGGCGTAGGTAATGACAAAATACATCCAGAAACAGTGCGCGAGTACGCGGGACACCAGGCCGAACCAGCGCATCACTCTGACCTCTAGGATGTCCAAGTTGTCGTTGGTCAAAATTTGGATGGTAAGGTTCACAATTTCATAGAAGAATATCCAGATGACATAGATCATCAGGCCCTTGTAGACCTGGGCATACGCGGAGTACAGAAGGAAGCAGCTGACAAAGATGGTGACGACAGACAGGAGAAGGACGATGGTGGCACTGGAGCAGATGGCGAACTGGTAGACGGTGTTACCCGCACGCCTGTCCTGCTGGCTGGCCTTGGTGCAGTTGTTGTCTTGTAGGTATTTCTGTTCGAAGATGAGGTACAGGTCTGTGGCCATGATGGTAAAGACGGCTGACAGCACTGTGCCCATTTTGGGGGTGATCCCACAACAGCGCCGCCATTTCATGCCGAGACCCCTGTGAGGACAGACAAGAGAAGGGGCAGTTCCAGCTCCTGCCAACGCCGTAGAACCCTAGGCCTCCTGCCTCCTTCCCAAGCCACCTTGGAGAAACGACAGAGAAAACGATGGAAACCACAGAACAGCTGCCTAGAGAAGACAGACTTTAAAACTGATGGGGGGGGGCGGGCGTCAGGTGGTATGGAGGTTAAGGCCCTGGATTCACACGTGACTGACCACGGTTTGAGTCCCGGACCCAGCAGCTTGAAATTCATGCCAGGAGTGTGTGTGTGTGTGTGTGCAAGTGTGTGTGCGTGTGTGTGTGTTCCAAATTCTTAGAGGAGAATGGAGGAGAAGGGATTGCGACATAACCGTCTGCCCTCAGGGGCGATTTCTCACTTTCCTTTTCTGTCTCTCTCTGTTGAACACATACACTATATGGCAAAAAAAAAGAAAAGAAAAGGAAAGGAAAAAGAACTGGGAGAAGTAAACAAACACGGTAGTCAGTTCTGCTTTAACGTTATTTGCCAATCTAGGCGAGCTTGAATTTCACTGTGATAGCCTTGCAGGACAGAGGTATGAAATCAAGGCTCAGGACCGGCCATGTAGGGCGTCTGTTGGGAAGCCTTCCCTGTGCTAGCTGTGGCCCCCTAGTGGTGACATAAGTAGTTCTCACAGGGGTCTCCAAGAATAGTTGACTTAGTACTGCACTGAGCAGATGGGGAGAAAATTCTCCTTCAGACATTGGAACTGTAACTGGTTTTTGGTGGACTGGTAACATAAATTACAAAAGGTATTTTTAAAAAAAATAGTTTATTTCATCATCATCATTATTCATTCATTCATTGATTTTAATTTGACCATAGAGAGGGAGAAAGCCACCAGGTCTGGGACTTGAACCATGGTCAGTCATATGGGAGTGTCCAGTGCTTCAACCACCACACCACTTGCTGGTCCCTCATTATTATTATTTTTTTAACTTGCTCTAGTTATCAGAAAGAGACACAGAGAGAAAGGGAGAAAGGGAGAAAGCAAGCTGCCAGATCCAGGACTCAAACCATAGTTGACCATGTGGGAGTACAACACCTTAACTACCATGCCACCTGCTGGCCCCCAAAAGGTTTTTTTTTTAGAGGAATTCTTTATTTTCATTTATCATCATCATTATTATTTTTTTAATTTGCTATAGTGCCGTGTGTGCTCATGAGAGAGAGAGAGAGGAAAAGCAGGAAGTTGCCCCCTTGGGGAATGGCTGCACCACATGTGCACACACATGCACTTGGCATGAATTTCAAGCCACTTGGTGCGGAACTTGAACTGCCGTATGCACACACACATCCAGTGGCAATAAATTAAAAGCCACTTGGTGTGGAACTTGAACTGCCGTGGACTTCAGTCACTACGCCACCTGCTGGCCACTGTTACGCAATTTTAATTTACATAATAATAGTTTTACTTTTTTTTTTTAGGTTTTTGTCATAGAGCATGTGCACTCACTGGAGAGAGACAGAGAGAGGGAAAGTGAGAAATAACCCCCCAGCAGAAATGATTACACTACAGTTCCTTCTCCTTCATTCTCTTCTCAGGATTTTAGGCACACATGCACATGTGCCTGGTATGATTTTCAAGCTGCCAGGTCTGGGACTTGAACCATGCTCAGTCATGTGGGAGTCTAGTTTAACCACCACACCACATGCTGACCCTGGTAGTTTTACATGTTGAAGGGGTATGGCCTGATTTTTCTTTTTTTTCTTTTTCTTTTTGAGAGGTTTTTGCTATAGGGCGTGTGCACTAGCCAGAGAGACAGAGAGAGACAGAGATACAGAAAGCGAGAAATCACCTTCAGTGGGGGCGATGGCCACGCCTCAATCTCTTCTCCTCCATTCTCCTCTCGGGATCTTGGGTACGCACACACATGCGCCTGGCGTGAGTTTAAGCCGCCGGGTCTGAGACTTGAACTGCGGTTGACCACATGGGAATCCAGCGACATAGCCATTACGCTAACTGCTGATCCCTTTTTAAAATTTTAAAATTTTAATTTTATTATTATTATTTTTTTGGAAGGGATATGGCATGATTTTTCAAAACACATATACATCGTGCAGTCACCAAGTCCGGACAGTAAACATCATTTCGAACACTTGTCATTACTCTATGTTGTGTACATTTGAAATACAACATTGTGTTAAAAAGTGGGGCCTTAGGAAGGAGACCAGGATTAGACAAGATAATGAGGATAGACTCTTTTTTAAAAAGAATTATTTTATTTAACTTATTTATGTATTTATTTGTTTTGAATTTGACCAGAGAGGGACAGAGCGAGAGAGAGAGAGAGAAAAAGCAAGAAAGCAAGCCACCAGGTCCAAGACTAAGCACAGTTGGCCACGTGGGAGTCCAGCACCCTTAACCACTACGCCACCTGCCGGCCTCATAGGGTAGATTCTTGGTAGACTCCTGGAGGGTTTAAAAGGAGGGAATGAGACAAACACACATGCGCCGGTCTCGCTCTGGCTCTCCACGTGATGCCCTGCACTGCTTTGAATCTCTGCAGAGAGTATCCGCCAAGAAGATCCTCACCAGATGCAGCCCCTTGGCCTTGAAGCTCTAAAACCATGGGCTCATTCCTTATAAATTACCCAGTGTGGTATTCAGTTGTTCAGGACAGAAAAAACAGACTAAACCTATGAGTGAGAAATTAAGAGGCATGAAAAGTATAGGAGGATGTTCTAAGAGAGAAGAGAGAGAATGGAGCAGCATGGATGAAGGAAAAACAGCCGAGGATTTGCACAACTGAGGAAAAACACGGATGCCCCAATTCAAGACCCCTAACTGACTGCCAGTAGGCAAATGAGAGGAGACCCGCCCAGAGACGGACAGTACTGCTCCACCTGGTAGGAGGGAAGCTTTTCCTTCAAAGAGCAGCTTTACAGACTTCTTAAGGACATCACAGTCCAACCAAACTACATTTTAACTGGGGTAAAGAAAATGACTGCCAGGCCAGCCTGTAGCACAGCAGTTAAGTGCTATATAGAGAAAGCCGGCTCCCACGTACCTGACCACAGTTCAAATCCTGGCCCTGGTGGCTCAAAAAACATGCCAGGCAAGTATGCCTATGTGCCCAGGATCCCAACGAGATAAAGAACTGGAGGAAAAGGATCGTGGCACGAACACGCCCCATTGGAGGGGTTCTCTCTCTCTCTGACAAGCACACATGCCCTGTAGAAATCAGTAAGAAAAAGAAAAAGAAAAAAAGAAAGAAAATGACCACTAACGTAGGACTCCATACTGAGGTAAAATATTTTTCAAGATTGAGAATGCACAGTACTGACGACCTTTTAATAAACTTAAAACATGACTAAAATTAGGGCCAGCAGGTGGTGTGGTGGTTAAGGGTGCTAGACTCCTACATGGCTGATCACAGTTCGAGTCTTAGCCCTGGTGGCTTGCTTTCTCCCTTTCTCTCCTCCCTTCCCCCCCCCCCATCGCTGGTCAAATTAAAAATAAATAAATGAATAAATAAATAAAGTTAAATAAAATAATTCTTATAAAAATGACTAAAATTAAATGATATATTGTTTGGTTTTATATATATATGTATATATATATATACAAAACTTTATTTTATTTTATGTTTAGATTTTTGCCATAGAGCACTTGTGCTCAGTGGGAAGAGACAGAGACAGAGAGAGAGAGACAGAGAAGGAAAGTGAGAGATTGGCTCCCAGCAGGGGATGGCCGCCCTGCCATCCCCTCTCCTTCATCCTCCCCCCAGGACTGGGCATGAAGGTACAGGTGCTTGGTATGTTTTTCAAGCAGTCAGGTCTGGGACTCTAACCATGGAGGAATTGGCCATGTGGCATCCAGCTGCCTTAACCACTAAGTCACCTGCTGGCCCCCCAAATTTATTTTAAAAGTAAGAGGAGCTGGAGCAGGCAAATTAGGTATGGTGGTTCAGGTTTAGGACTCCCACATGGCTGACCACAGTTCAAGTCCTGAACCTGGCAGCTTGCTTTCTCACATTCTCTTTCTCCCTCTTTCTGTCTCTCTCTGGTCAAATAAAAAAATAATAAAAAATAGTTAATTAAAATTTTTTTTAAAAAGTAAGAGAGGCTAGCCAGTGGTGTGGTGGTTAAAGTGGCTTTATCCCACATGGCTGATTGCAGGTTAGAGTCCTAGATCCAGTGGCTGGAAAAACATGCTGAGCACGTGTGCCCAAATACTGAGGGAGAAATGGAGAAGGGATTGCAGCTTGACCATTCCCCTTGGGATACGTTCTCACTTCCTTTCATTCCCATTGTTTCTGTCTCTCTCTGGTGAGTGCACGTGTCCCCCAGTAAAACTCTAACAGCAAGTAAGGAAATAATAAACACAAAATTTGGGATAGTGGTTACCTTTAAAGTGCAGAGGTTAGGGATAGAAAGGGGCTAATGCATAAATGTGAGGTATTGTTCATCTGTTTTCTTGAGTCAAACAAGGAATTCACAAGTGTTCATCAAATTAAAAAAAAACACAAATAAATCGGTAAGAATAAAAACAGACCATGTTTGTATTAACAATAAATTTTTCTTTGAGATTTTTGCTATAGGGCGCGTGCGCTTGCCAGATAGACAGAGACAGAGAGACAGAAAGCGAGAAATCACCCCCCAGGGGGGATGGCCACGCCACAATCCCTTCTCCTCCATTCTCCTTTGGGATCTTGGGCACGCACACACACGCGCCCGGTGTGAGTTTAAACAACCGGGTCCAGGACTTGAACCATGGTTGGCTACGAGAGGCCGGCGATTTAACCATTACGCCATATGCTGGTCCCAACAATTGATTTTTTTTTTTTTACTTAACAAAAAGTTTATTATGACAACGTCCATGACCTGAGTTTTACATCACAGTAAAACAGGCCCGTCGCCGAGGGGACGTGGGTTTTTCTGTTGAACAGCCATTATTTATACTCGCTCCGAGGCTCCTGACACGATGATACTGTTTCCTGCTGTGACCACACTCCAGTATTGTTCTGGGGCCCACGAGTCGCCGTCGCCACACCTTCATCTATCACAGGACTCAGAAATGGATCAAGTCCCCGCAGGGCTCCTTGGACATGCCTGCACCATTTAATTTCCATGATCACTTCTTGTCCATACATGTTTTCAGTTCAGGAGGGTGAGCTTTGCTCATGGCACCAGCTCCGCCGGCTCAGAGATGCCTTTGAACGGAATTCTCGACAACTGATTTTTTTTAATGACGTAGGATAATAATCCGATCCTGTAACAAGTAGTCTAGTTTCGTACCTGTGGCCCTGCTGTGTCCACTGTCTCCCACTCCACTGAAGCAGGCCACAGACTTCCTCTTCTGATTCCTTAACAACCTCACACGAGTTCGAGGCTCCCATCGGTCTCTCTCTGGCAGACCGATGACGTTCTCCAATGTCTATTTACCCTCTTTACTTTCAGCTTTCGCCAGATACACGGCAGCCCGGCTAATGACCACACTTCCCTGCTCCCTTTGGAGCGTCATGTGGCCCCGGGACCAGTGGGGAGTGAGCGGATGTGATGCTCGAGAGAGGGTTACTTGCTCGCGGAAGAGCTGGGAGTGCTCTCGCCTTCTCTTTTCCCTCCCTCCTTTCTTAGCCACAATCAGAACTGATCTTTGGGCCAGACGTGAAAGCTGGGGCTGAATATGGCAATCACCCTATCAGCCGTGGATCCTTGCTACTTGAGAGAGAGCTAAACCTCCACTCTAAATAAACCGCTGTCTCGTGTGAGGTCTCTCTGTTTTGTTTTTTAAGAGGTACATGCCTTAGGGCATGTGCGCTCACCAGAGAGAGACAGAGACAATGAGAGGGAAAGCGAGAAATCACCCTCCAGGGGAATGGCCACGCCGCAATCCTTTCTTCTCCATTCTCCTCCTGGGATCTTGGGCACGCACGCACACGCGCCCAGTGTGATTTTCAAGGTACCAGGTCTAGGACTCGAATCATGCTCAGCCATGTAGGAGTTCAGCGACGTAACTGCTAGGTCATCTGCTGGCCCGGCTGTTTGTCAGCAGCAGCTTAGCCCGCACCGTGGTACACCACCTAACCATGTACGGCAGCTTAGCCTGCTCTTCCCCACTCTACAAGATGGCAGGTGAAAAAGTTGAGGAGACAGATACTAAGGAGAAGAAACCAGAACTCAAGAAGGCTGACGCCAGTGACAAGGTTCAAAAGGGTGACCCCGGGACCAGCAGATTGCATAGTGGGCACGTTGCTGGACTCCCACATAGGCGACCATAGTTCGATTCCCAGACCTGGCAGCTTAAACTCACACTGGGCACGAGTGCGTGCATGCTCAAGATCCCAAGAAGAGACTAGAGGAGAAGGGATTGCGGTGTGGCCATCTCCCCGGGGGCGTTGTGTCCATCTCCCCGGGGGGTTGTTTTCTGGCTTTCTGTCTCTCTGTCCCTCTCTGTCTTTCCAGAAAGCACAAGCACCCTATAGCAAAAAATTCTCTATAAAAAAATAAATACATAAAAAGAGTGACCCCAAGGCTGAAAAGCTGAAGGAAGGGAAGCCACACTGCACGTGAAATCCAGTCCTAGTTGCATTGGCAGATACTCCCAATCCACCATGTCTTCCAGGAAGGCCGTGTTCGAGAGGAAACATGGCCAGGACAACCATAATTGAAAAGATGAAGATGGAGAAGGTTCTTGCCACTGTCATGAAACCAGCTGGTGGGGACAAGAATGGTGACACCCGGGTGGTTAAACTGCGCACAGTGCCTGGGTACTATCCCACTGAAGATGTGCCTCGAAAGCTGTTGAGCCACAGCAAAAAACCCCTCAGTGAGCACGTGAGAGAGCCGCGAGCCAGCGTCACTCCCGGGACCATCTGGTCACCCTCCCTGGGCACCACAGAGCAAGAGGCTGGTTTTCCTGAAGCAGCTGAGCGGTGGCTTGCTACTTGTGACTGGACCTCTGGTCCTCAGTCAGGTTCCACTGCGTAGAACACACCAGAAATCTGTCATTGCCACCTCCACGAAATTGATATTAGCAAAGTAAAAATCCCAAAGCACCTCACCGATGCTTACTTCAAGAAAAAGAAGCTGCGGAAGCCGGACACCAGGCAGGTGAGATCTTCGACACAGAGAAGGAGAATACGAGATTTCAGAGCAGCGCGAGGTTGATCAGAGAGCTGTGGACTCACAAGTTTTACCAAACATCAAAGCTGTTCCTCAGCTCCAGGGTTTCCTGCGACCTGTGTTTGCCCTTACAAATGGAGCTGATCCTCACAAATTGGTGTTCTCAATTTCTTGCCAAGAACCTAATTAAATAAATGATATATTAGGGATCAGCAGTTGGTATAATGGCTATGTCACTGGACTCTCATGTAGTCGACTGTGGTTCAAGTCCCAGACCCAGCGGCTTAAACTCACACCGGGCACGTGTGCGTGCGTGCCTAGGATCCTGAGAGGAGAATGGAGAAGGGATTGCAGTGTGGCCGTTCCCCTGGGGGGTGATTTCTCGCTTTCTGTCTCTCTGTCTCTCTCTGTCTTTCTGGTGAGTTGAAGCAAAAACCTCTCCAAAAAATAAATAAATGAATAATTTAAAAAATATATTTTAAAAAGGCAAATAAACCCCCAAAAAACGGTTTAGCCTGTGTCGTAACACACTCCCTAATTTCTTCACTGAAGAAGTTTGGTGAGAGCTAGTGAGCCACTCGGATCTGGCACCCTTGACCTTGGTCTCTTGAAGAATCCAGCGGATCCCTCCTGACTGCACGTCTGCCTCACGGAATCTGCTTCTTCCACCATCTCCTCAAAAAGAGATGTCACCATTTAATCTCAATGTCACTAATCACCTCTACAGCTGATGCAGTAATAAATCATGAATTGTTTGTGACATCTTTCATGTTTATTTTTTAAGAATGGCTTTACTTAACTTTGTTTACTTATTTTAATTTGGACAGAGTGAGAGGGAGAGAGAGAGAGAAAGTGAGAAAGCAAACCGCCAGGTCTAGGACTCAAACCTCAGTAGTGTCCAGCGCCCTTACCCACCACACCACCTGCCGGCCCCTCATGTTTTAAATTGCTATTCAAAAATTTTATGTTTGGAGGAACAGCAGTTAGCGTAATGGCTGTCGCTGGACTCCCACGTAGTCAACCGCAGTTTGCGTCCTGGACCCTGTGGCTTAAACTCACGCCGGGCACGTGTGCGTGCGTGCCCAAGATCCCGAGAGGAGAATGGAGGAGAAGGGATTGCGGTGTGGCCATCCCCCCTGGGGGGTGATTTCTCAGTTTCTGTCTCTCTGTCTCTCTCTGTCTGTCTGGCGAGCACACGCGCCCTATAGCAAAAATCTCTCCAAAAAAAGTTAAAAAAAAAATTTATGTTTGGGAGACCAGCAGATGGCTAATGGTTTGCATCACTGGACTCCCACATAGTTGACTGTGGTTCAAGTCCCAGACCCAGCAGCTAAAAACTCATGCTGGGCACGTGTGCTAAGATCCCAAGAGGAGAATGGAGGAGAAGGGATTGCGGCATGGCCTTCCCCCTGTGAAGTGATTTTTCCCTTTCAGTCTCTCTTTCTCTCCAGTGAGCACACACACCCTATAGAAAAAATCTCTCTAAAAAAATTTTATGCTTATAAGAATCATCTTGGGGCCTGCAGATGACTTAAGCGGTCATGTTGCTATGGCCAACCATGGTTCAAGTCCCGGACACAGTAGCTTGAAAATCACACTGGGTACATGTGTGTGGAGAATAGAGAGGGGGTTGCAGCGTGGTCATCCCCCCAGGCGGTGATTTTCTCCCTTTCCCTCTCACTGTCTCTGTATTTCTCCTTTAAACACTAGGCTATGAGGCTGGCCCTAAGTTCATTTTTTGCAAAGTTATTTTTAGCAGTAAAGTTTCTTTAAAATGGAAACAACATAGCAATACAAAAAAAAAATCCTTTTTTGGAGAAGTTTTTGCTAAAGACAGAGAGAGAGACAGAGAGATAGAAAGTCAGGAATCATCCTCCAGGGGGGATGGCCACACCGCAATCCCTTCTCCATTCTCCTCTCGAGGTCTTGGGCACGCACACACATGCACCTAGCATGAGTTTAAGCCACTGGGTCTAGGACTCGAACTGTTGTCAACTACATGGGAGTCCAGCGACATAACCATTATGCCAACTGCTGATCTCCCCCAATTCTTTTTTTAATCAAAGGTTTTTAATTTGGTTTGATCCCACAGCCTTTAAAATTTAAAGGCAGAAAATGATGTCTTGTTCCAAAAAATAATATTTTCCCAAACTGATGCAAATAGGATAGGAGATCACAAACGAAAGAACAACATGCTCAGACTGCTAAAGCCAGAACTCTCCACCTTGAACCTCCACCAGGTAAGTTCAAGGGCCTCCCTAAATTACTGTCAGTAAACTCCTTTAACGGAGAAGCACCCTGACAGGCTGGGCCATTTGTTGTTTTCTCACGCCAGAGGGCATGTGCATGTTTGTGTGCATGTGAGAGAGAGAGAGAAAGCAGGGCCTGTTCACACTGACAAGCTTCTTTCTCCAATTCTCCATCCGGTCAGGATTCTGGGCACACCTGGACATGCACCGTGTGCAAGCCACCTGGAGGCCCCAGCCAGCACATTCAATTAGTATGCCTCCATCTGGAAGCCCTCTGGGCTGCTCAAACTCAACAGGTCCCAAACCGAGCTTCCAGTCTCTCTTCGTTCCACCTCACCTGCTGCTACTGCAGTATTTCTGACGTAAGTGAATGGTATCAGTATCCATCTACCCACTGCCCCAGACACCCTGGTGCTCATCCCCTGCATCCAAACAACTCACTAAGTTCTAGCAGCTTCCCCTCCCACCTTTGCTCTGGAATTGTTCTTCCTGTCTGCCTCACTGCATGAATGCTGCTGTAGCAAAATATTACAGACTAGATCATTTGTAAACAATAGAAATTGATTTCTTGCAATTCTGGAGGCTAGGAAGTTCAAGATCAAGGCGCGGGCAGGACTGGATCTCTGTCCCAAGACAGCACGTGGTTGTCACGTCCTCACGTGGAGAAAGGCAGAAGGGCAGAACACAGTTCTCTACATCCTCTGTGTGTGTGTGTCTGTGTCTGTGTGTGTGATACATCTCCTTTTTAATTGCTAGAGTGGTGTATACCCTCATTAGAATCAGAGAGACAGAGATAAAGAGGGAAAG